ACCGTCGGCCTCCATGGCCTCCGACTCGACGGCGAGTGCTTCCCAGAGTGCTCCTGGGAGGCCTTGGGCCGAGGCATCCTCTTGGGCTGCGCCTTCTTCAGGATCTGCACGTGGTTGTACTTCCCCTGGCCGTCCTCTCTGATGTCCTTCACGGTGCTCTTGATGCTGGTGTCCCCCAGCAGGCCAGCCTTCGCGAGCCTCTCGCACAGGTCGGGCCAGCCGGTGAGCACCTCCTCGTCCTCCCGAGCGAACGCAGTGGTCTGCATCATGGGGACCACGCTGTCCTCCCAGAACAAGTCCGAGGTCATAGGCAAGCGCTTCTCCTTCACCCGCTCCTCGAACTTCCTCCTGTTGGCCTCCATGGCCTGCCTCAATGAGCTGTGGGACGCCGCGCTGGTGGGCGAGGAGTTCCACGATGAGCTTGGTGGCCGCGACCTTGTGGGCGAGGTCCGCAACCTTGTCCTCGAGCTCGCCACTGAAAATGGCACCCGGTACCAGCAGCTCGAGGATCAGGCCCACGCCTGTGTGAGCATCTTCAGGACATGGCTCGGGCAGGCTGCGCCCCTCCGAATCGCGCCTGCCCTACCCCGCGATCGAGGCGGAATGGCTAGGAGGAGGAGGAGGAGGAGGAGGAGGAGGAGGAGGAGGAGGAGGAGGAGGAGGAGGAGGAGGAGGAGGAGGAGGAGGGAGGAGGAGGGGAGGAGGAGGAGGAGGAGGAGGAGGGGAGGAGGAGGAGGAGGGAGGAGGGAGGAGGAGGGAGGAGGAGGGAGGAGGACAAGCTAGGTGCGCTCGCGTCATGTCTGACATCCTACCCCTCCCTCCCATCCCTTACCATGGCGTAGATCCCCTCTCTACTCGCACAGTCGGATGTCGAGCAGGGCAATGATCCCGAAAGGGTACGCGATGCATTGTAGAGCACGGCATGGCTTGGCGTAGAAGAGCACCGCAAAGCGTAGTATGTCACAGCATGGCGTGGCGTGCCGTATTGATGATTTGCATCACAAAGCTTTGCAACGCAAAGCATGGCATCGCACAGCGGCCCCGAACACAACATTGCATAGCATGGCGTTGAAGATCAAAGCGTGGCATGGCATGGCACCACGTGGCATTTCAGCACTGCATGTCACAGCTTCAGCTGAAGGCATGGCATCGCGCAGCGGAACGCAACCTAGCATTGCATGCCGTGGCATGGCACGGGAAATGACGCCAGCGCTGCAGAACGAGCGGAAGCGCGGAAATGAGGCCAGCGCTGCAGCGGGAGCACGATTCGGAACGAGCGGAAGCACGGAAATGAGGCCAGCGCTGCAGCGGGAGCACGATTCGGAACGAGCGGGGCCCGAAAATGAGGCCGGCGCCTCAGCGAGAGCAGCATTTTGAGCAACAAATGCAGGCGAAAACCCAACTCCGGGGAATCCTGTGTGTAAAAAACAGTACGCGGGGGGGGCGAACATTCCCAACCCGTCATCAGGGGAAGGAGGAGAGTAGTATTCATATTGAGTGATTGTGGAGGACCAGTACAAACCCAAGAGTCATCAGCGATGTTGGAATAAACCCTCCCTCCAAGCTCCTTCTTAGACCCCCACAAACGGTTCGTTTCCATTGAGGGAACAGCCTGGTTGGAAGGCAACCGTTTGAAGACTCTGAAGCATGCCAAAGTATCGTTCCCGGGATTCCCACGCCACGGATCAACCTGACTGTTGCGTCTTGACGATCTTGAATCGTGCCAGACTATTATTCCTGGGTCTTCAACTCCGCGAGCCAACGTAACTGTCGCATCCTCATAATCCCGAATCCTTCCACAACACTAATTCTGGTACGCTGATCATCCGTGAAGCCCTTGCATTTTTAAAAGACGAATGTGCGCGGCGCTAAGGCGAGAACCACATTTTGAAAAGGAACCGCTCTGAATCCGTGAAGCTCTTGCAAATGATTAAAACGAGTGTGCGCGGCGCTAAAAGCGAGAGCCACATTTTGAAAAGGAACCGCCCTCAATCCGTGAAGCTCTTGCAGCATTTGTTCGAACGAATGTGCGCGGCGCTGCGGCGAGAGACACATTTCAAAATCCACCCGCCCTCAATCCGTGAAGCTCTTGCAATTTGTATACATGAATGTGCGCGGTGCTAAGGCGAGAGCCACATTTTGAAAACCATCTGCCCTCAATCCGTGAAGTTCTCACATTATGTTCTTACGAATGTGCGCGGCGCCAAAGCAGAGACACATTTTGAAAACGACCCGCTCTCCATCCGTAAAACTGTTGTCAATTTTAAGCTTCAGGGTCATAAGTGGTGAAGAGTCTCAGGCGAAACGCCCGGCCGGCCCTAAAAACCAGCCTCGGGGTGCCACAGGGAGAAGTTAGGTATAAGGTAAAGGGATGGAGGAGAAGAGGAAGGAGGAGGAGGAGGAGGAGGAGGAGGAGGAGGAGGAGGAGGACGAGGGGGGCGGAGGAGGGAGGAGGTGGAGGAGGAGGAGGAGGAGGAGGAGGAGGAGGAGGAGGAGGAGGAGGGAGGAGGAGGAGGAGGAGGAGGAGGAGGAGGAGGAGGAGGAGAAGGAGGACCAGTGCAAACCCAAGAGTCATCAACGATGTTGTAAACAACCCTCCCTCCAAGCTCCCTCTTCATAGGCCCCTACAACGGTTCGTTTCCATTGAGGGAGCTGCCTCGTTGGAAGGCAACCGTTTGAAGACTCTGAAGCATGCCAAACCATTGTTCTCGGGATTCCCACGCCACGGATCAACCTGACTGTTGCGTCTTGACGATCTTGAATCGTGCCAGACTATTATTCCTGGGTCTTCAACTCCGCGAACCAAAGTAATTGTCGCATCCTCACAAGCCTGAATCCTTCCAACACACTAATTCTGGTACGCTGATCATCCGTGAAGCCCTTGAATTTTTTACAGACGAATGTGCGCGGCGCTGAGGCGAGAACCACATTTTGAAAAGGAACCGCTCTGAATCCGTGAAGCTCTTGCAAATGTTGAAAATGAATGAGCGCGGCGCTAAAGCGAGAGCCACAGTGTGAAAAGGAACCGCCCTCAATCCGTGAAGCTCTTGCAATTATTCAAACGAATGCGCGCGGCGCTAAGGCGAGAGACACATTTCAAAATCCACCCGCCCTCAATCCGTGAAGCTCTTGCAATTTGTATACATGAATGTGCGCGTCGCCTATGCGAGAGCCACACTTTGACCCCCCCCACCATTCTTGAAGCTCGTACATGATTTTACTACATTTGTGCGCGGCGCCAAGGCGAGAGACACATTTTGAAAACGGCCCGCTCTCCATTTGTGAAGCTGTTGTCAATTTTGAGCTTCAGGGTCATAAGTGGTGAGAAGTCTCAGGCGAAACGCCAGGCCCGCCCTAAAAACCGGCCTCGGGGTGCCACATGGAGAAGTTGGGTATAAGGTAAAGGGATGGAGGAGAAGGTGAAGGAGGAGGATAAGGAGAGCGGAGGAGGGAGGAGGGAGGAGGGAGGAGGTAGGCGGGATGAGGGAGGAAGGAGGCGGGAGGGCGGGAGGGAGGAGGGAGGAGGAGGCATGAGGGAGGATGGATGAGGAGGAGGGAGGGAGAGGAGGAGGGAGGAGGAGGAGGAGGAGGAGGGAGGAGGGAGGAGGGAGGAGGAAGGATGGAGGAGGGAGGAGGGAGGAGAGAGGAGGAGAAGGGAGGAGGGAGGAGGGAGAATTGAGGAGGGAGGAGGGAGGAGGGAGGAGTGGGGAGGGGGGAGGTGGGAAGAGGAGGGAGGATTGAGGAGGGGAGGGGGGTGGGGAGGAGGGAGGCGGAGGGAGGCGGGAGGAGGAGCGGAGGACGGAGGAGGAGGAGGAGGAGGAGGAGGAGGAGGGAGGAGGAGGAGGAGGAGGAGGGCGGAGGGAGGGAGTGGGGGAGGGATGGGGTGGGGGAGGAAGGGAAGGAAGAGTTGGAGGAGAAGGGAGGGAGGAGTTGGAGGAGTTGGAGGAGGAGGAGGAGGAGGCGGAGGAGGAGGAGGAGGAGGAAGGAGGAGGAGGAGGAGGAGGAGGAGGAGGAGGAGGAGGGAGGAGAGGAGGGAGGAGGAGGAGGAGAGGAGGAGGAGGAGGAGGAGGAGGAGGAGGAGGAGGAGCAGCAGCAGCAGCAGCAGGAGCAGGAGCAGGAGCAGGAGCAGGAGCAGGAGCTGGAGCAGGAGAGGGAGAGGAGCAGGAGGAGGAGGAGGAGGAGGAGGAGGAGAAGGAGGAGGAGGAGGAGGAGGAGGAGGAGGAGGAGGAGGAGGAGGAGGAGGAGGAGGAGAGAGGAGGAGGAGGAGGAGGAGGAGGAGGAGGAGCAGGAGCAGGAGAGGAGCAGGAGCAGGAGCAGGAGCAGGAGGAGCAGCAGGAGGAGGAGGAGGAGGAGGAGGAGGAGGAGGAGGAGGAGAAGGCGGAGGAGGAGGATGAGGAGGAGAATGAGGGTATGATGAAGACGTTTGAGTGTGCGTGTGTCTTTCTGGGCCTCCAGAGGCCTCTTGAGACTTCCTGGTCCAGGTGGCATCACCAGCAGCGCGTGGAAACAGTGCCGTGCGTCTCTCCTGGGGGCGCGGCGATAAAGGGGGGCCTCCTCCTCCTTCTCTTCCTTCTCTTCCTCCTCCTCCTCCTCCCCTCCTCCACCTCCTCCTCCTCCTCCTCTTCCTTCTCCGCCTCCTCCTCCTCTTCCTTCTCCCTCCTCCTCCTCCTCCCCTCCTCCTCCTCCTCCTCCTCTTCCTTCTCCGGGTCCCAGATGGTATCACCAGCAGCGCGTGGAAGCAATGCCGTTCCTCTCTCGTTGAGGGCCGCGATGAATGGGGGGCGATAAATGGGGGTCAGCGAGGGCTGCAGAAAGGGGCCCCTTAGGACCCCTAGGGGGGGGGCCCATTCGGGCCCCCAATGGGGCCTCTAGGGCCCAAAACGGGCAACTCTTCCCCCCAGTTATCGCCCCCTCTATTCAGCGACGCCCTGTAGTATCACCAGCAGGGCGTGGAAGCAATGCCGTGCCTCTCTCTTTCCACCTTTCTGTTCTCCTTCGAGGCGTGCTCTCCTCGCCGCAGTTCCGGACGTGCGTGGGCGACAGGTTCCCAGTCTTGCCCTCTCTCCGTGACGGCCAGCACGTGATGGCCGGTCTCGGTGACCGCCCTGCGAGGCAGTCCGCGCCCCTCGAAAGTTCCCACGTGCGCATCTTGGAGTTGCCCAGCTGAAGGAGAGCGCCGCGCAGTCGGCCCCCCACGTGTGCATCGAGGAGTTCCCAGGTGAGCATCTTGGAGCTGCCCAGTTGAAGAAGAGCACCGCGGAGATCCGGGGTGCGCATCGTTGACGTGCTCGATCGTGAATCCTCTGAGAAACGCACGTTCTTGGGCCCGAGACCCTTCGGGATCGCGGGGGATCGTCGGAAGCCGCCGACGGCCGCTGGGTAGGTCGCAAGGGGCTGCCCGTGGTCGGACACCCGCCACCGTGGAGCAGAGTACATTTCGCACAGCCGATGCCAGAAGAGCACGCGGCCTGCGCGGCGTCGCTGGCATGGTGGAGGCGGCGAGCGCAGCTCGTCGGACCACGGGTGGCGCAGGGCGTCTGCGGTGCCCTTGCGCACACTTGCATCGGGAAGAAGGGGGCCGCAATGCCTTGCAGGTAGTCTGAACATGATCTCGATCGTCGTCACAGCACTGAGATTCCTTGGCCGGTCGTGTCTGGGCAGGCGTTGAGAAGGTGTGTGTGGGGGGGGCTGCAGCCGTGCAAGAGAGGGAGAGGGTTGGGAAAGGGTGAAGGGGAGGGGAGGAGTGGGGGGGGGGCGGGTTCACACTTGCCCCTCCCGTGCGCATGCGGCTGCTCGACGTCGAGCATTCGCCTCACGCCTGACCCTGTCCTGCCCTCCCTCCCTCCCCGCGCCTCCACCTCCTCAAGAGACACGGGGCCTCCTCCCCTCCCCACACCTCCTCTCCCCTGCCCGCTCCCGCTCCCCCCCATCTGCTCGGTACTTCGCAGGATGAGTTTTCAAGGCAGAACGCCGCTCGATGGCGGGCGACGCATTCTATGTACACCCACTGGCCCCTGGCCGGGCCCTTCCTGGGCCCTGGAGCGGCGCATACGCCGCTGCTGGCCGAGCCAGGAGGGCGTGGCGCAGGCACCGCTGCCAGGTGCAGGATGGGCTCGGCCAGGGAGCGTAGATGGACACACGAGCGGAACCCTTGACACCGAGCCCTCCCCCTCCCCAATTTCCAAGCTGGCTCCAGGCATTCGGCAGCACAGGTACGAGAGAACAAGAAAGTGGACCCCCCAAGGGCCTCCAGGAGGCCGAAGCCCACTTTGAAATTGGGGGAGGGGGGCGAACGCTGGGTCGAGGACGAAGGGGTTCCATTTCTGTGTCCACTGACTACCGGGGCATTGGATATGTACAGATCTCGTCGCCCTGTGACGGAGAGGGCGTGCTGGCCAGCGTCTCGAGGCGGCCCCCGCTGCCGCCAGGAGATCATCGAGAGCCTGCTCTCGTCCCTGATGTTCTGCCTGGCGCGCGCCGCGCCGGCTCGGGGGCGGCGCCCCCGCGGCCCCGCCTCCCCTCCTCGCTCTCTGCCTGCGAGCGCCTCTCGTCGGGCCCGATGGGCCGATCCCCGTCCCCACGTGGCCAGGGTGCATACCACGATCGTCGCGAGCTCTCGCTCTTCGATCGTGCTGGCCTCGATCATAATCCTCCTCCTCCTCCTCCTCCTCGTCATCCTCCTCCGACTCCTCCACCTCTTCCTCCTCCTCCTCCTCCACCATTCAGCGCCCCTAGTGGGGGAGAGGCCACGCGGAGCCCGAAGGGAGCAGCGGCATGTATCCCCATTCAGGGGGGGCAGATTGGCCAGGGGTCGGTCAGACCAGGGGGGGCAGATCGGCCAGGGGCCAGGCCAGCGAGCCGTGGCCTGCTGCAGCCGCGGCGCCAGGTTGCGCTCAGGCGCGAGAAAGTGCAGCCGTGAGGCCAGCGTAAACACGTGCCCTGGCTTCTGGTCGGCGGCGAGCGAGGGGGGGAAATGGGAAGGAGGAGGCCTTCTCGGAAGGCGGCGGGACTTCTCTGAAGCCCTCGTGCCTTTGAGAAGTTTTTGTTTGGTCTTCGGGAAAGGCTTACAAAACTTCCAAGAAGGCCGGGGGGCTTCCGAACTTTCTAAGAAGGTCTTCTCCTTCTCATTTCCCCCCCTCGCTCGCCGCCGATCTGGACGTCTCGAAAAAGTCGCGCCAGAGCCTTTGGCATTTAGTGTTGTCTGAAGGCTCATTCCAGGCCCAGGGCAGGAGCAAACAGGGTTTGGATTAAAAGCCAGTCTTGGGGAAGGGGTCGAGAAGTCCGAGGGTGGGCGATTCGAAGAAATCGAGCCGTCGGAGGTCTGCCTAGGCAGACATCGAGCAGAGCAGCCTGTTGGATGTGAGCTCACGAGGTATCAATCGTGTGGCTGTGTCCACGCTAGATCTCGACGTCGCTGCAGCGGCCACCGTGTGCGCCCATGGCCAGGGCGTGGCCACCAGGGCACGGATTGCTATTCACCGCATTTCAGCGTCTCCAGAGCGATTGCCAATACGCGTGGAAAGGAAGATGCAGTGTTGTACAGCTTACGTGTGAGATCATGCCACCGTGTGGTCTCGCCCATGCTTTTTGAGTTCAGTCGGGAGCCTCCTTTCGAGGGTGTTTTTTGGGGACCTCCCGTGCGGGAGAATCCTTCGAGGGAGTTGCTTTTTGACCTCTCAGGCGGGAGCTTCCCCGGTTGATGTTTTGAGACCTCTCCGATGGGAGCCTCCTCCTTGCTTCTCTTCCTTCGCCTTCGATGGACGCCTCCTCTCCTTCCTCCCTTTTCCTCATCCTCCTCCTCCTTCTCCTGCTCCTTCTCCTTCTTCCTTGCGTCTACATCTGCACATGCGTTGGAGGAGGAAGAGAACAGTTCACCAGAACGGACTGAGCAAATAATTTGACGAAGCAAATTTTGTTAGCCAGCGTGGACCCCAAACAGTAAGCTATTACACTGGATGTGTGAGATATGTAATGCAATCTACGTGGGGCAAGCTGTGTGGTGTGAGCTATGTGGTGCAATCTGTTTTGTGCAAGCCATGTGGTGCAACCTCGACGGACCCACCTGAGAACGGTGGGCAGCAACGAGGCGGCAACGGGCGGCGAGGCGGCAAACCCTCGACGGACGCCGCAGGTGGGCGGCAGCGAGGCGGCAACGGGCGGCGACGCGGCGAGACCTCGACGGACCCATCCAAGGCAACGAGGCGGCCACGGGGCGGCAACGGGTGGCGACGCGGCGAAACCTCGACGGACCCCCCGAGTGGGCGGCAACGAGGCGGCACGGGGCTCCGACGCGGCGAAACCTCCAGGGACGCCCCGAGTGGGCGGCAACGAGGCGGCAACGGGTGGCGACGCGACAGAGTCTCGACTGTCAAGTGGGCGACAACGATGCGGCAACGAGTCGGCCAACGGGCGGCGACGCGGCGAAATTTGGACGGACTCATCCAAGTGGGCGGCAACGAGGCGGAAACGAGGCGGCGACGCGGTGAGAGTGGCGACGGTATAGAGTATAGATGCGGGAATGGAGGGAAACTTGTAGATTGTAGATGGGTAGAGGTCGAATGTGGAGATTTATGGTACAGGATATAGAGGAGATCGTAGAGAGCACCAGGTAGGTAGTATGTAGCTGCCAGCAGAGTGCAGTGAGGAGAGAATTGAGTGTGTCGGGAACATGGGGAGCTGAGAGTACTGCATTCGGCGTCCTTTGCTCATATCCACCACCGCGTTCGCTCTTGCGTGGTAGCGTTTTTCATCCCTCTTTTCTGCCTTAAGCCGTGTCAGTTGAGGTCTATGGCTCTCTGCGGGCGGCTCCTGCGATTCGCCTTTCGTCGGGTAAGTTGGCAGCCCACTAGATTGTTACTTCAGTGAAGTTGCTCCCCAGTATTGTAATTTTCTTGTCCCTCGCCGCTCCCTCATGCAGAGCCAGAGCATGCGTGCCACTTGTCGTTTCGCCCCCTTCTATTTCACCCCCGGTGTATTCGTGGCTTTCTGGCTTTGAGGGCTTTCTTGGGGCACGTACTAGGTTCTGCTCGGCAAATCAGTGACATCTTGGGACGTCCAGGGCAGCGCCAGGGCAATATAGACGCAATGTTGGTATCCACCCCTCTCTTCTCCTCCTTTTTTTCTCCTTCTGTCTCTGGGCGGTCCATCAAGACTGGCGTTTTTGCTCCAGTTTCAGGGCGGACCCCCACGTGTCTTTACTGATCGATCCGTGCCTGGAGCTTAGCTCGAAATTTCCCACACGATGCTATGTGTGTTTACGATGTCGGACCTCAATTCTCCTCCCCTATCCCACCTCCTTCCCTCCTCTTTTGGCTGCAGGCGGTGGCCTTTTCCAAGGTTTTGCCGCTTGGTATTTCGCCCTGCTTGCGTCTCTCTGGCACACATACTATGCTTCCTTGGATCAGAGGCTTGCCTCAGATGTTCCAGGGAAAGTCGCCAACAGCCAAATCATCAAGCAACCCCACATTGCTGGGTAATGCCAGCCAAGCTCGTCTTGAATCCAGCGGCGGTGGTTCGTTTCCACTTTCCGTCAAGCAGGATGGCACACCAGAGGGCATGGGAGATTGTGGGCAGGGAGCTGGCGACATCTGCTCCAGCCGCATATTGCCAGGGAAACTCGGCACTCCCAGCATGTTGCTTCTTTCGGACCCACGGATGAACACAGCGATTCTGGAACATTATAAAAAAGATCTTCTGCTCGGCAAGTGGGGTATTGTTGGTAAGCCTTTCCCCGCGCCCGTCTGGGAGGGATCACGACTCTTCATGAAGCATATGTGGTACAAATTCATGGAAAGACTGGCGTCTGCCTTGACCGCAGTTGCAATGCCTGACGCATCCACCATCGACGAGTTCACGGAGGTAATTTCTGGAGCCGACGGTAACACTATCACCCTGTTCGTGGCAAAGCCGAAGGTGTCCGAGGCGGTTCCGGGAATCTTGCACATGCATGGGGGAGGAATGTGCATGTTCTCCGCCAACGAGCCAAGTATTCGCGCCTGGCGGATTCATCTGGCTCTCCGTGGCTTTGTTGTTGCCAGCGTTGAGTTTCGCAATTCCTCTGGCAAGTTGGGGCCCCATCCGTTCCCTGCTGGGCTGAACGATTGCATGACCGCTTTGGCATGGCTGAGTGCCAGGCGTCAACAGTTCTGTATATCGAAGCTCGTTCTGTCTGGCGAGTCTGGGGGAGGCAATCTATGCATCGCCTCGGCTCTCCGTGCCAAGCGAGAGGGGCGCCTTGCTGAGCTTGATGGCGTGTTCGCATTGTGTCCCTTCATTGCCGGGCCGTCCGTTTGGAGGGCGAAGGCGAACACTTCATTGCAGGAATGCGACGACTACTTACTCGACTCGAACAGCTTGACACTTTTCGCGAGCGTGTACGACCCAGAGCTCAAGCATGCGGGTGATCCATTCGCATGGCCAGGATTGGCGATCGACACAGATTTGGATGGATTGCCACCCCATGTTATCAGCGTCAACGAGCTCGATCCTCTTCGGGACGAGGGCCTGGCGTATTGCGAAAAGATGAAAGCAGCAGGTGTGCGTGCTGAGTCCAGGATTGTGCGGGGCACTCCCCATGCGGGCGAATTGTTATGCGTGGGCTTGGAAGGTGGTCATTACATCCTGGACGAGACGATTGATGCCATGATGCATTTTGCTCAGTCTCTGTGATTTTGCCCTTCATAGGTGTTATGTGGAACTCGTTCCATGATGCCCATCTGTACTTGCGCGCAGTGAGTGTGCCGTTGAATTTGTTGCACGTTTGCAATTCTTATTGTTTTGTGGGCTAGAGCATCGCCTCTAGGCGCAGTGAATTTCTTTCGAGCAGTCTTATGTGCTTCTCTCTCTCCCCTCCCGCACATTACGCCTACGAGGGGATACCTCAAATGAGGATCACACCGCCGAGTGCGATTCTACAGGCTTACGCCGCGTCCGCCGACCCCTCATCATCATCATCATCATCATCATCATCATCATCATCATCATCATCATCATCATCATCATCATCATCATCATCATCATCATCATCATCATCATCATCATCATCATCATCATCATCATCAGCATCATCTTCTTCTCCATCATCGTCGACGCCATCGTCATAGTTGTTCGAACCTGGTGTGGGGGGACACTGTTTCTGTTAGTATCTCTGAGCAGGAACAGACAAAGAAAAGCGTCGGACGATCGAAGGTCGAGAAACAAAAGGAGGAGGAGGAGGAGGAGGAGTAGGAGGAGGAAGAGGAAGGGGAGGGGGAGGTGAAGGAGGAGAAGAGCGCCTGCCGCGGCCAGGGGCCCAGAGGCAAGTGAAATAAAAGGCCTTTCGTCGATTGTCGATCTCGGGAGGTCTCTTATCGATGTCGGCCCCTGGAAACCCTCTTCGGGCTCCCAATCCGTTGAATATTACATCGCCTTCGGCCCATCCCGCCGCAGTGCTTGGGTAGTGGGTCAGAGGTCTCTTGAGTGTTCGTTGCGATCGCGTGGTAAGCTTCTCGGGGGCTTGTTGGAGGCAGCTTTGAAGCCTCATAAGGGGGCCTTGTCGGGCCTCTTCTGGGCCTTTTGCACGCCTCTTGTGACGCTCTTGGTGTCTCATGGGGCCCTCTTGAGGCGGAAGGCCAGAATTTCCGGTTTGTGGTCTCCCTCTGGGGCCTCTCTTGGAGCCTTCTTGGGAGTCTTTTGGGCCGTCTTGGGGTCCCTTTTGGGCGCCTCTTGGGTCATCTTGGGGCCCGCTTGGGCCATCTTGGGGCCCTCTTGGGCCATCTTGGGGCCGTTTTTGGAGCCTTTTGGGCCGTCTTGGGGCGATCGAGAATCAATGATTTTGGCCTCTTGGGGCGCTCTTGGGAGGCCTCTTGGAGGCCTCCTGGGACGTCTTGGGGTCTTCTTCGGCCGTCTGGAGGCCATCTTGGGCGTGTTGCAGCAATCTTTCGGCGAATCGTGGACCGTTTTGGGAGCCTCTTGGGGCCCTCTTGGCGCGTTTTAGTGCCCTCCATCCTCCCATGGCGCGTCCGTCCAGGGGTCGTGCCAGGCCAGGGTGGGGGGGTCGAATTCCCGGTTTGGGGTCCCAGGGGGGGATCATGGGGGGGGAGAATCTCACACGCCTAGAGATCCACAATGGGTCGGCGGATTCGAAGTTCTAGCTACGCTGCCTCTTGGTTGAGTGACCTTTGCGCCAGCAAGGCAATCTTCCGAGCTAGTGGTCCATCATTGTGGACTAGGTGGAGGGCTGGGGATGAGTATGAGAAGGAGGACTGTTCTGTGATGTCCATCGGCAGTTGCGCACAGGGTGTCGCCGAAGTTCCTCTTCGGTGGCATTTCTGCTGCTTTGTCGGTCAGGGCGTTTTTCAGCTCGGCACAATGGGTCCCCTTTGCAGTATTGTTTTCTGCTCGCTCTCTCGCCAGACGCTCTGTTTGCGAGGGGGGTCCGTGAATAATGCCAGCGCGTGGATCCCAACAGGCTCTGTTCTGCGACCACTGGCGAATCCTACCCCTGCGTGTCCAACCGACGCTGCGGTATCGGACACCCCCGATGAGGCTTTACCTGGATGCAGACATCCCTCAAGCTCTGAACACCAGCCGGGTTTGCGGAAATCTGACCTGCAGGGGTACAATGCCGTTTTAATACATGTTTTGCGTGCGGGTCATGGATAAAACATGCAGGGATTCAGTACTAAATACAACGATGAGTTCATGCATACATTCATTCATGAATTAGACATGTATCAAACATCCAATATTTTTAAACATCCCATGTTTTAAGCATTGCCTTGTAGAGTTCACGTGCCGTGGCCTGCGTGCGTCAGAGCGCGCCCGTGGAGAGCGCTCCTTGCGAAAAGGGGGGGCCCGGCGTCAGGCGACCCCTCCTCTTCCCTTGGAAAAAGGGGGAGGGGCTTCCGAAGCTACCTTCCCCCTCCCCCCCTTGTCGCAGGCCTAGAGGTGGACACCAACACCAAGACCAGCCGTGTGCCTCCACCGAGGGAAGATGACCCCGATCTCGGTGATGGTGGTAATATCCTGGCTTCCAAGGTGGCCGAAATATTGCCACCAACACCGAAATCCAGGATCATCTTCCCCGTGTGGAGGCAACCCCCTGTGTTAGTGTTGGTGCCCATTTCCAGGCCTCCAACCTTGCTTGTGGCGGGCATTTTTTAGCTGGGGGGCCCAGCCAAGGGGGGGGGGGGCGGCTTGGAAGCACCCCTCCTCCCCCTCTTTTTCGGGGCTCAAGGTCAGCAATCTCACACTCACGCACGCACACACACACTCACACACTCACACACTCGCCCACTCGCAGACTCGCACACTCGCACACTCGCACGCTCACACTCACCCATACTCGTACGCAGACGCACGCTTTTTTCAGCCAGCGGCGCAGAGGGTTCCCACGCGCGAGCAGCAGTCGGAGGTGCTGATTGCGACCCACACGCACATACGCACGCACGCACGCACACCCACGCACGCCCGCACGCCCGCCCGCCCGCGCGCGCGCGCGCCCGCCCGCGCGCACTCGCACGCGCACACGCACGCGCACACGCATACGGACACACACACGCACACGCACACATACACGCACGCACACGCACACGCACACGCACACACGCACACACTCACACGCGCACACACACCACACACCACACACCACACACACGCACTTACACACACGTACACACACTTTCACACACGCACACACACACACACTTGTATGCACATTACAATGCACACGCTTACACACATACCTGCACACACACTCACACACGCTTGCACACATACACACACACTTACACACCTTTACACAACTTTACACATACTTACACATACTTACACACATATTACAAGCACACACACACACGCTTGCACACACTTACACGCACCCTTACGCACTTACACGCACGCTTAAAAACACTTCCGCACACACACACACACGCACACACTCCCACTCGCGCACTCACACACATACACTGACAAACACACTTACGGACACGTGCAATACTTACACACAGGGTTATACACACTTGCACACACGCACACACATACACTTAAACACACACACACACACACTTACACACACCCGCACACCCACACACCCACACGACTACACACCCACGCGCCCACACCCACAGCCACAGCCACAGCCACACCCACACCGACACCCACACCCACACCCACATCCACACTCACACGCACACGCACACGCACACGCACACACAACCGCGCCCGCACACGCACACGCACACGCACATGCGCACGCGCGCACGGTGTTCGCGCGCACACGCGCACGCGCGCACACGCACGCACGCACGCACGCACGCACGCACGCACGCGCACACGCACGCACGCACGCACGTACGCGCGCACACGCGCATACACGCACACACGCGCACACGCACACACGCACACTTGTACACACGCGCGCGCACACTCACACTCTCACACACGCGCACACTCACATACGCACACACACACTCTCACACTCTTACACTCTTACACTCACACACTCACACGCTCACACACTCAAACACTCGCACTCTCGCACACTCACACACTCGCATACTCGCGCACTCACACTCACTCATACTCGCACGCAGACGCACGCTTTTTTCAGCCAGCGGCGCAGAGGGCCCCCAAGCGCGAACAGCAGATAGGGGTGCTACTTGCGACCCGCGCACACGCGCACACACGCGCACGCACACACGCACGCCCGCCCGCCCGCCCGCCCGCCCGCCCGTGCGCACGCGCACGCGCACATGGACACGCACACGCACACGCACGCGCACACGCACATGCACACGCACACGCACACGCACACGCACACGCACACGCACACGCGCACACGCACGCACACGCACACGCACACGCACACGCACGCGGACACGCACGCGCACATGCACACGCATACGCACACGCACACGCACACGCACACGCACACGCACGTG